TTACTGCCTATCCAAAAAGACGTAGGTGTCAGACCACTTCACAAAAGCAGTCAAGGAATGCATGATTGAAGAAAGAGCCTTCTTACAGCAGCAATGTGTAGTAAATGTAGGTAAATGTAGAAAAACGCTTCTGCCATTTATTATTCTTCCTTACAGAACAAAGTCAAGGCTCAGTTATAAACCATAGTATGTGTAACTCACTCAATCAAGGACAAAAATAACACAGGAACATAGCTGTAGCATAACTTAAAACGTTAAGGTTCACCGTCGTCATTTTCTCTCCGGTCTTATTCGGCATGTGCATAGCTCCAAGTTTGAATGCAGAACAAAAAACCCCACAAAATAAAAAAAATCACCCCACGCGCTATCTTAAACAGATGGTATAATAGTATTCTTTACCCTGTTTGCAAAAAAACGTACAAGAGGATGACTGATAGATTTACCCACAAATAGTAATACTGGTCAGGTAGAGAAATGACAGGAATATAAATACAGACATTGTAGAGAAATGAGATGTTACAATGAAATCAGGACATAATAAATGGGACTAAATCGCCATGTGAGTAAAATGCTAAACAAAAAATTACTTGAATAAGCAATTTGAAATGATTGGCCAGTGTAGTCACTTCGTAGTTCTTTGCAAAAAAAATGATTCAAATATGAGGTGATAATGCTTGACATCCAATGTGTTTTTCATCTTATTTTGAAGTACTTTATGCGGTTTTAAACAAAGGGGGGACTATTGCCAATGGGAGAAGGTCATTTCGTCTATTTCAAGAATGATGCTTTATTTCTCCTTCAAAGGAGACATTTCTTGTATATTTTAAAAAACTAGATAATTTGGCTTGACTCTTGGACGTCATAAAATGTGCGTGAATGAAGATAAATTTGGCGGAATTTGAGCAAGTTTTTACTATTTTGAATCATTTTTTGCAGGGTCTTGGTATTCAAACCGTTTTGAGTACCATCTTGACTACAGAATGTAACAAATGAAAGTTAACAATATCTAGGCAAGCAAGAGGAAAAAGTGAATTGTGTCTAGTAGCCCGCGCTGGTTGTCCTGTGCCTGGTTGAAGGGTTGGCTGGTCTCGCCCGATTCCGGTCCTGTGGTCTATGGACTGGTATTCCTCTCGAGTTTCTGGTGACTGTGGGGAACCCTGCAAAAGAACAAGTTACAGGTCTGTGTTGTCATCATGGTCGCTTCTTCTCTCCAAGATATTTTATTAAAAATGTGGTCCGTAAAAGAGTTCCAAAAACTATATACTGTTTTATATATTTGTGCTTGAAGTGGACACCAGTCAGAGATGGTGATTGTTGTTGTAATGAATGATAAACTAGACCCTCTTTTCACGCATTGTTAGTGCTTATGTGACCAAGTATTGTCAAATAAACGTGCTTAAATAGGAGTTCTGCTGGGTACCCTTCTTGGATGAGCTGTTACAGAGCTTCTCAAAGTCATAGGAGGTACTTTTGGGACCATATATTCAGAGTGAGACCCTCCCAGGGGCTATGAAGATGAAATTAGCTTTGGAATGTGCATTTCACGGTATTTCTTTTTTTTCCTTTTTATTTTCTTCCTTTCGTCTGTGTGAATGTATATACAGGGAGTAAGTTTAAAAAAGGACATGGGAAATATATTGTAAAAAAAAAACTTAAAACAAACTTTGCTTTCCATTTTTTTTATTAGATTACTTTGAGCCACTCTGGGTTGACTTAAAAATCACAGGAATTTACAGAGCTATAGTGGTGGGGAATAGTGATATTTGTGTGTATTTTAAGTGATAGAAAACGATTGATTTGACATTTACTAGCTTCACACAATGAGTAGAAGCTAGTTAAGCTCCAAATTACTGGCAAGGAAAACCAAAAACATAAACGAGCATAGGGCTAACCCGTTATCTTCTTTGCCAGGCCCTATCAGATTAAAGTCTGAATAATTTCAGCTCACAGTCAAAGGAATAGGACAATGACACTAATCTCGAAAGTCAGAGAAGTTTAAGTAACACCACTTAATTATAATCTTTTGGACTTGAATGTTAAAATATTCGACTTTAAGCTCATAAAGAAAAAAAACCTGTGTGGAGCCCTAAGCTCTGTTGTATGCCTTCTTTCATGCTTAACTCGTACAATAAAACACATGTTTATTTAAATCTAATTAAAGTTTTCAAGACTTCTTCTCACGTTCATGTATATTAGAAAGCCAACCCTCGAAAAGGACCAACCGGTAGCGTTGTTCGAATACTGATCACAGAACTTTCAGAAGTTCAAAGGACTTCTCCCTCTATAACCTCAACATGAGCCATTGTGACAGACATGGCTGTTTATTACTACCACTCAATTACATTTTTAAAATATATTATTCTCTGGGCAGAGGGCTTTATTGTACAGGACAGCTTTGGAGTCAAAACAGGACAGAGAGCGAGACCTTCGGCAAATGGTTTGGGCATTAAAACCGTGGACGCCAACCACCAACAGAGCATGGATATATTTGATTGTACAGGCATTTTTAAATTGAGATAATCCTTCAGAGAGAAATGTGGGAAGTATGACTACAAATGATCACCAAACCCAGAGATCCTGACATACCAAAGAGATAGTGGTGCGAGTGAACATTTGTGTTGCCTGTAAATGGACTTGGAGGCAACAGAAGTGACATTACTAGTTTACATACTTGAAGATTGAACGATTGTGAATTGTGTAGGATTGAGTCTGTAGTAAAAGGGGTCTACTGTTATTTCACAAATAAACATGAAAGTTTCTCTCAACTGAAATACGTTTTTGTATTATTTTCTAATATTTTTAAGTGCATTTTGTGTACGGTATTTTTTGGAAATAGTCTCTTATTTCTTGAAGGTTTGTTTCTCTGATCTGTGTCCTCTGAGATAACTACTGTTGTGCATTTACGGCTTTACACAAAATAAAATGTTGTTGAAAAAAACCTGAATAATGTACATACAGCTTGGCTCGCAGAACAGATACCAGGCTTAAATCCTTGGACAAAATATGTTATCGTTGATAAAGTGTGTACGTTTTTAAAACTAAATCAAATATGAAGTGCAATACTGCAGAATGTCTACTGATTGTCACTTTATTACTTATTATCCTGCTCTATATCTATATAACTTCGCACTAGTTATTTAGATGGATAATAAAAATAGCTAGCTAATAAAAAATAGTAGTACTTATTGGATTTTTGTGTGCTCTTGCTACTGTCCTGTTTGTGCGCTTTAACATTGAATATAGTTCCCACTGTGGGAGGAATTAAAGGACTTTATCTTATCCTAAATAATGATTACAGTGATGGATGGTGCAGTGTATTGGAACGTGCATTGATAGTGAAATGCCAGGTAAAAAGTTTCTCAAAAGTTGTCGTCAGATGTTGCACGTCGGTCTTGTAAACGCTCAGAGATGCATGGAGTCAACAGTGTGCAGACTTTATTTAAGGCTGATGAAGAGGCGCCATCACACAGTGAAGCTCAAAATAAAACAGAACACACACCAAAAACACAAATTAGGCACCGGCGAGAGTATGGAGTATGAATAAAAGATGCATTCAGGACATAATTTACATACACGGTTCCCATCAACAAAACTTTGGAGAACAGTACAAGCACATTCAACATAGACTCAAAGGGTACATCGGGAGAAGTTTGACAGGACAAAACATAGATAAACTAAAATACAAGATAAGTGGTAAAACGGTAAAAGGAGTCTCTTGAGTCCAAGGAGCAATTAGTGGACAAGGAGCTGGAGGAAGATTGTTCGGAGGATCGCGAAATGTACAAAAGGGAGAGAGAGGGGAGAAAGCCGAGGCAATCATAGCGACGGCCTTTATGTAGGCACTGTCAGCACGGTACGTGGGTGCATCGGCTGTCTATAGATAGTCTCAAAGTCTTAACCGTCAACGTCAGGCAGTAGGAAGGGAAACAAAAAACAGGTATTAATGACGTGAAACATACGAGAGAAAACGTGTAAACAAAAAGTGGTACAGGAAACAAATATGAAGTGTGTTAGGTTCAAGAAACAGTACCTGAAAGAAAACAAACCTTTTCTCTTTATAGGGTGGAATCCCTTCTGTTTTATAAATAGTTCATTTGTATTTGGTACAGTTTTGATACACGTTTGTAAATAGCAAAACAAACAAAACAATAGAAAGCTTTTAAAATAATGTATTATAATGTTTACAAAGTGCCATCTCATGGTTTGCTTATTACAGTATATGTAAATGTTGTGTGTATCCTGGCTCGCAATGTGTAATCAAAAATGTTGAAAAAAAATGAACACAAAAAGTTAATTAATTCTGCTCTTGAACTTAAATGGGGTTTGGGGGGGGGGGGGGGAAAAAAAAAAAACCCCCCCCCCAAGACTGGACAATATAGGATAGTATATCATAAATATGTGATAAAGACTCATTACATCAAAGTCTTGGGTCTGTCGTTATTTTCAGAATATTAACGTTTTCTGAGATTTAATATAGTTTCTATTTATCTTCTTATTGTGATTGCGTTGTTATGAGGTATTGGGGTTTGTACATTCAGCTATTGTTTTCTTTCTATTTTCTCCTCACAGGAGTTGTATATCTCGGATGTCGATGGAATTTTAATTGTTTTATGTCTTAATGTTTCAATAAATAAAGTTGGGATAAAAAAATAAATCTATGTGCAATCGCGTTCAGCTAGGCTATGTCGAACACACAGGCTTATATCTTGGGACCTACCTTTCTAAATCCTAACCAAACCCTTGTTTGATTCTACAAGTTTGTAGGTCAACCATGATAACATAACATCATTAGTAAATAGGGACTTGAGTATATTCGTATTGTCATTGTATACACATCTTATACCCACATATACGATATGTACAATTGTACCAGAGTGCTAGAAAAAAGGCCAATAATCTTTAATCGCTTGAGATGTCCGGCTGGATGTTCGGGCTTTACAGAGTGACTAAACATCGTGATCCTGATAACGATCGTGCTACAATCTAAACAGCAATTAAATTCACCTCCTCGCTCGGGCCTCTGCTTCAGCCTCTGCTTCAGCCTCTGCTTCAGCCATCTGGCTTAGACACTGCTTCGCTCTCTGCGTCCAGCCTCTGCTTCCAGCTTGCTCCAGCCTCTGCTTCAGCCTCTGTTCAGCCTCTGCTTCTGCCACTGCTACAGCCTCTGGATTCTGCCCTCTGCCTTCAGCCACTGCTTCAGCCACTGTACTTCGCCTCTGCTTCACCTCTGCTTCAGCCTCTGCTTCAGCCTCTGCTTCTGCCTCTGCTTCAGCCTCTGCGGGGTGGGTGAGGCATTCAAGCCTCTGCTTCAGCCTCTGATTCAGCCTTCTGTCTGCAGCCTCTGCTTAGCCACTGATTCAGCACTGCTTCAGCCACTGCTTCAGCCACTGCTTCAGCCTCTGCTTCAGCCTCTGCATCAGGACTCTGCATCAGCCTCTGCTTCCGCCTTGCTTTCAGCCGCTGCTTCTAGCCTCTGCTTAGCCACTTGCACGGTCATTCATAAACCGGGTCCATCAATATTCAATGTTCTCCAAAGAGCCCACAGGAGGACTCTTTTTTGGTTTTGCAGTCTGTTGCAGCACTACCATCCAAATCGCATTATGGAGAAAGAGAATATTTTGGTAATCCTGAAAATAGACTCATAAGCCAAGGAGTAGGGAATAAGTTTTGGAGCGGATTAAGCCGGCAGCTCGCGTCTTAGTTCTGGTGGAGCAGTCCAAGCTTCATTTTGAGTGTCTTTCTAAATAGGGCAGAAACAATACTTTACTTTTATGTGACAATAGTACTTTTAATATTGTCAGAATGTGCACTATTAGAACACCATGTGTCATGTCACTGTACGGAGTCTACTTTGGCCCAGAGCCTCATGGTCTAACATGTACACATGATATATATATTTCTTGCACTCGAAATTTAACTTGCATGGCAAAGTGATTGTCATTTTTACACCGGCTTCTTATTAAGCTAAAGTCAGAGAGGTTGTACTTAATTATTAGTTTTCCTCATTATGCTATAACGTTTAGATATTATTATTAATTGCCTCCGTTTTTCTCTAATGCTATAGATTTATACTTGTTTTTATTATGCTAAAGCTAGAGATTTCTTACTTGTTCTGTATTATGCCTAATGCTAGTGATGTTATACTAGCGTCTTTATTATGCTAAGATAGTGGTTTTATTTATTAATCTTGTGTTGTGTGTCCTCATTCATACTACTCTTCTGGTAAATGTCCCCACTGTGGTGTCGAAGAAAGGATCTATAACGTAATCTTTTGTCTCATGGCAACATTGTGTCTTTCTGATGATACTATGTTTGTTGTAAATGTAGTCTGGGGTTGGGTCATAAACAGCTAAACCACACCACCATACTTCTGCCTAAAAAGACGTCGCTTCATTTCAAAGTCTTGTGACCGGAGCAATATGAGTTTGCGTGAGGAATGTTTCTGCATGTGGTTCAGTGATTGGCGAACACTCCTTTCAGTTTTAATTTCACCAGATTGGATTTAATCAAGTTTTACTCTGTTTCATCCAAAAGTGGAGTAGAGATTTCCTTGTAATTCTCATGGAGCAGAGTTAAAAATAGCCGCAACTTTTCTTGCAGTAATTTTCTCCACTAGTTTGTAGATGTGGAATAGAATTTGAATTATGAGATCAGCTTTGCGTTGCCAAAGTGGGTTTAATATGAGGCATTTTTGAAAGATTTGCTCTTCAGCAATGTTTTATAGTTTGCTTCTTATATTCTAAAGTTCAGAGATTTTTATACTTTCATTTTGCTTCTTTACTCTGCCTTAAAGTTCGAGAATTTTTATGTATCTTTAGTATATTGTTATTGTTTCCCTTATCTTATTTTTGTGAATAATATAAGGGTCAAGAATTGCACAATTTAAACAGAATAAAATTACACAACACTCACTCTATGTTAAAAATACAATAAAGATAAATTATTCTATACTTGCTTATTAATATGGTAAAGGCAGTGATTATATATTCTTTAGTATGCTAAATTATAATTTGTACTTGTTTATTTTTTCTTCTATAGGCCTAAGGTAGAGCTTTATAACTTGCTTCTTTTGACAGCTAAAGTTAAAGATTGAGTTTATTCAATAGAGAGGTTATTGATCATTTTATTGTGCTGGGCGCTTCGGACCGAGTAGGATCACTTCTGTCTTCTCCGGGTTGAGAAGTAGGAAGTTAAGAGTCATCCACATTTTAAGGTCCTTTATGCAGGCACTGAGCTTTTCTAGCTGATCTGTCTGATTAGGCTTCATCGACAGATAAAGCTGTGTGTCATCTGCAGCAGTGGAAATTAATTCCATGCTTTTTAATAATGTTTCCCAGTGGCAGCATGTAGAGAGTAAAAAGAATCGGTCCGAGTACCGAACCCTGCGGCACACCGAATTCTACTCCAGAATAAGGCGACGAGTTCTGATTTACGTTGACGAAGTGATATCGATCTGATAAATAGGATTTAAACCAGCCAAGGGCTGTTCCTCTAAGACCTGTATCACATTCTAGCCTCTGCAGTAGAATGCTGTGGTCTATTGTTTCAAATGCAGCACTAAGGTCCAGTAGGACCAGCACTGACACTTGTCCATTATCAGCAGCTAGTAGTAAGTCATTTGTGACTTTGACTAGTGCCGTTTCAGTCTATGATGAGCTCTGAATCCTGATTGAAAGACTTCAAACATATTATTTTCCTGCAGGTGGCAGCGTAGCTGCTCAGCTATAAGTTTTTCCAGGATTTTAGATATAAAAGTGAGGTTTGAGATCGGTCTGTAGTTTGTAAGTATTTCTGGGTCCAGGTTTGTTTTCTTCAGAAGGGGTTTGATTACCGCGGTTTTAAAAGCTTGTGGGACATAGCCACATTGTATGGATGCGTTTATTATATTTACGATAGGCTCAATTATCAAAGGAAGTATGTCTTTGAAGAGCCATGTCGGGACTGCGTCTAACATGCAAGTTGAGGCTTTTGAGGATGTGACCACAGAGATCACCTCTGCTTGGCTCACAGCCATGAATTTATCAAGGCCCACTGAAGAGTCTAAGTGGGAAGTCACGTATGCCGCTTCAACCTGTCCACTACCAACAGCAGGAGTAACCTCCTCCAGTTTGTCGCCTCGTACGGTCGACATGGCTCTTTGCTGCTCTCTTTTTCTTTTGTTTTTACTTTTTAACTGTGCATCTGGCTGTTCCTACACCCGTGAGGAACTTATGAACATCCGACCCACCGTTCCCATGGACCTATTGCCTGTTTTCTTGGCATCTGCGGCTGATTTAGTTCATGTTCTAGCCAAAAAAGTGTGGGCCCGTAAAAGGGGAAAGCGAGGAGGCCTGCTCGTGCGTCTCAGGAGGAGAGGAGCGCGCACGGCTCTCCCCGGCATTTTTCTCTCCAACGTACGCTCACTGGGCAATAAGATGGACGAACTCAGCCTGCTCATGAGAAGAAACAAGGACTTCGCCACATCCTGTGTCCTCTGCTTCACTGAGACCTGGCTAAATGAGCGGATCCCGGACTGCGCTCTGGAGCTGCAGGGCTTTGGGCTGTTTCGCGCGGATCGCCATTGTGCGCTCTCAGGGAAGAGCAGAGGCGGAGGGCTCTGTTTCTACGTCAATACAAACTGGTGTAACGATGTGACAGTGATCTCCAAGCACTGCTCTCCTGCTCTGGAATATCTTTTCATTCATTGTAAACCATATTACTCCCCGCGGGAAATTGTTTCATTCATTCTTGCCTCTGTTTACATACCGCCATGCGCGGACGCGCGCGAGGCTCAGCGCGCACTCGCAGAGCAAGTACTGTGTATGGAACGCTTATACCCGGACTCTCTGATTATTATCCTGGGGGATTTTAATAAGGGAAACTTGAGCCAGGAATTACCCAAATACAGACAGTTTATCAAATGCCCGACCAGAGAGGAGAACACTCTGGATCACTGTTACACCACCGTGCGCGGAGCTTTTCGCGCTGTTCCCAAGCCAGCCCTCGGCTTCTCAGATCACTCCATGATACATCTGGTTCCTGCTTACAGACAGAGACTAAAGCTCTCGAAACCTGCAGTGAGGAGCTCCAAAGTGTGGTCTGATGAAGCTGTGGAAGAGCTACGCGCATGCATGGAATCTACAGACTGGGACCTTTTCAGAGCTGCCACAGACAGCTTGGATGAATATACGGACACTGTGACGTCATACATCCACTTCTGTGAGGATAGCATCATTCCAACAAGGACCAGGGTCATCTATAACAACGACAAACCCTGGTTCACTGCTAAACTCCGGCAGCTCAGGAAAGCAAAGGAGTCTGCTTTCAGGGAGGGGGACCGCAGCGGCTACAAAGCAGCTAAATATCAGTTCAGGAAAGAACTGAAAGCAGCCAAGTCCCGGCACAGAGAACGACTACAGGAGCAGTTTGGTAACAACAATACTGCTTCTGTCTGGAGGGGCCTACGGGAGATCACCAACTACAAACCCAAAGCCCCCCCCTGTGCTGATGACCACAAGCTAGCTGACGATCTGAACTTATTTTTCAGTCGCTTTGATGCTGCCCCTGACACCTCTCCCTCCCCCACCCCCCACTACTCTAACGACCCACCCATCAGCCCTGCCCCCAGCCTAACAATAGCCGCTAAAGAGATTAAACAACTCTTCCTGAGGCTGCACCCCCGCAAAGCTCCTGGCCCGGACCACGTGTCTCCGGCCACTCTGAGACACTGCCCCAGTGAGCTTACTCCTGTGTTCACTGACATTTTCAACACCTCTCTGCAGTCCTGCCATGTCCCGGCCTGCTTCAAATCCTCCATCATTGTCCCCGTCCCGAAGAAGCCCAGGATCACAGGACTCAATGACTACAGACCTGTAGCACTTACGTCTGTCGTCATGAAGTCATTTGAACGCCTGGTTCTCTCCCATCTCAAGTCCCTCACCTCCCCCCTCCTGGACCCCCTGCAGTTCGCCTACAGAGCCAACAGATCTGTAGACGACGCCATTAACCTGGCCCTCCACCACATCCTACAGCACCTGGACTCCCCGGGGACCTACGCCAGGGTCCTGTTCGTGGACTTCAGCTCTGCCTTCAACACAATCCTGCCATCCCTGCTCCAGGACAAGCTCTCCCAGCTCAACGTGCCCGATTCCACCTGCAGGTGGATCACTGACTTCCTGACGGACAGGAAGCAGCGAGTGCGTCTGGGGAAGAATGTCTCGGACTCTCGGATTATAAATACAGGAGCCCCACAGGGCTGTGTTCTTTCTCCCCTGCTCTTCTCCCTGTACACCAACCACTGCACCTCCAGCCACGACTCCGTGAAGCTGATCAAGTTCGCGGACGACACCACCCTCATTGGACTCATCTCCAACAACGATGAGTCCGCCTACAGGAGGGAGGTGGACCGGCTGGTGTCCTGGTGCAGTGGTAACAACCTGGAGCTGAACGCC